TGGATTGCTCTAAACTCAAATCTCTTCCAGTAAAAGGGATGCCCTCTTCCATCTCTGAACTATTTATTTCTTGGTGCCCATTGCTCAAACCACTCCTAGAATTTGAGAAGGGGGATTACTTGCCAAATATTGCTCATATTCCCACCATACGTATCGATTACGAATACCTGTGATGATTAAAACGAAGGTGTTCTAACATATGTAAGTTATTCTTTTTCTTTTTTTCTTTTCAAGTAGCTTTTTATTTTGCTTTTTTGTTAATTCTTTTCCTTTGTTAAAAATCTTGTTGAGCAGTGTGAAGAGGTTATGAAACAGAGGAAGCATCTTCAATTTGGGATGAATTGAATGTTAGATGACAAAAAGAAAAGGTGATAAAAGCATCTTCATATTTGCTCCAGAACGTTGATAGCTTAAACGTAATATTAATCTGTTACCACACACATATACATCAGACATATGTTTATTGTCTATGGAAATTCATCTCATCAATTTCAATTCATATATTATTGTCATATATCTCACTCTTCATCTTGTCGATTTTTAGTTCATGTATTGCTTGAACTTTCATCTCAATAGAAATTCATGTATTCTTGTTCTTTCCCCTTTTCAGTGAGTTAAGCGAGGAGGAGGTGGTTTAGAGTAATGCATGTGCACTATAGAATTCAACGGTATACGCGACACAAAGTTTGTCTCCTATCTATAAAAAATAGAAAATTTTGCTTCCCAATATGATTATCAGATATCACCTTAGCTCCATTGGTGACTGGAAAGTTGCGCTGAATGTGGTCTATCAGCAAAATGTAAGTGAAGAAATGTACTACTCTTTGTGTGGATTTGACAGTACTACTCTTTGATCACTCCTAGAAAATATTGTGCAAAATTTTGTACAGCAGTTTCTTCCAATACATCAGTTAAAAGAACTAGTCATTTTCTGTTGTCGATTAAATCATCCAGTGCTATCAATTATCAAATTAAAACTGATATTTTCCCAAATTAAAATAGGTTATTTTGTTATAGCTGAGGAGACACCAGCTCTGTGTATTATACAGTTCAGCCTTGATTTGCTCTGAGTAAAGTTTTGATGCATTCAGGGAATGAAGTTTTGTCGCTGCTGGAAGAAGGGCTTCCCTCATCTCTTTTTGAGCTAAGAATAGGTCTTTGGTGCCTCACTTCGCTTCAACGTCTAGAAATAGCCTCCTACTATCGATTCCATTACCAATTTCTGAGGTAATATTGCTTTTTCTTCAAAATTTATTTCCCATATCTATGCTTTTGTGTGCAGTCATTCAAATCTCCATGCTGATACAAAGGCATACGAGACAGAAAGTTTGTATTCCATAATATAACATCTAAACACAATGTTAGTGCTATTTTGTATGATTATCTGATCTCAGCTTAACGATCATTTTTCTTTCTTTGTCAGGATTGTGGTGATCAAATATTGTTGCTTAACATGGGAAGGAAAAGCTGGGCAGAGAATTGTCAAGGTTCAGTCTTAATTATGTGAAATTCCCATCTCGTCATGGACACATGGTGAATGCGCGTTAGTGTACTTCAGTAATTACATTGAAATTTTTTAAACATCTAGCTTTTATTTCCTTGAGTATAGCTCATCCAATAGAAAAGTGTTCATACTGTGTTTCTTTATGCCAACCTGTAATTTGTTTGTAATTGTTGTAGTCAATGCACACTTGGTGAATTGGCCAAATCTGGTGCATATCCTCGCTGTAAAGTGGTGGCCATCTCTGTATCACCATCTGCCTTGGGATACAAGGAGAGTTGCCTTTCTCCATCACTTCAGTATACATCTATATGTTTGCGCAAAGGCGAGACTGGTTCAACATTTGGATTTCAGGTCACCTCATCTGGTATGCCACATAAAGTTGTATCCTCTTATTAACATAAGCTAGTTTGTCAGTAAACTCGTCTGTAATATCCTTTTTATGTACTTCACCTTGTTTGTTTACTCGTCGTTTTTTTCCTGTCACATAATGTTTATTTGTTTCCCCAGTCGCTGGATGTATAGCAATGATGAGGGTCGTTCATTCCTGTACTCCTATTCGTCGATTTCAGTCCTTTGAAGAAGCAAAAGTTCGAGACAGTTTAGATGTATGCAATCTGATCAACTTTACAATCAGGCACACTTTGCCTGTTCCCTGTAAGAAATTCACATGAAGTTTGCAAAAGCAAATAATTATAAAAATTAATGTGGAAATCGAGAACGGGAAAGGAGTGGCCAATAGATTACTCGAGTTATCACCTTAATTATGAAGTGCATATGCTGAGCAAGGGAAGCTGCTCAGCTTTGTTCATCTCTTGCACAGAGATAAAGGGTTCAAAGAATGCAACCGCACTTTCTCAGATATTGAAATGTCTTCCGATATCTGCTTCCATAACTTAAGCACATGTTATATCGCATTGATTTCAAGTTGATGCAGTTGCATCTGATAGCAAATACTGAGATTTTGTCAGTATTTGGATCTTTAGACAGTAGTTAATACATCAATTTTTTGTTTTGAATATTCATAGATTTGGATAAAAGATATAAACATTAAGCTGATGTTGTAAATATAAACTTCGAGTGGCACCTCAGAACTAGGGGAAAGGCAAGGAAACATATGCTACTCGGAATGATTTCAAGGTTAGATAACAAACAGCTATTCGGTCATGTTTCAGTTACCACAATATTTATATGGCCGTTGAAACATTTCCTCTTTCGCTTTTCTACTAGCCCCATTTGGGTGATACATTGTCATTGTTACAGTTGTTCAATACTCTGTTCGTTGTTCTTAAACGCCAGTCAATTCGTGGAATCGCGAAGAAGAGCATGAATGGTCAGAAACATGCAGTCCCTATTTCACAATCAGGTACGTTTTTCCTAATTCCTTTTAATATATGGATGAAGATCTCCAAACTACCCTGCTTTGTTCATTTTGATCTTTGAGTTTCTAGCCACCCTACATTTGATAGGTAATACTGATGAATTTTCTCATTTTCCGAATTTCTAGAGCATAGTTAAATGGATATTAAGGTGTCACCTTCCAACTTCATTTATCTGTTTGTGTTTTTTTCCTTTCCCTTTTTTGAGTCAGCCTCATGTGGCAGCTTCGAACATGAAAATCAGCATTAATTTACATCAGAGATTAATTTAAGGCTAATATGATAATAGGTGTATCCTGATGTTATTAAAACTATGAGAAAACTTCAGTTGTTGATTAATCGCAAAATCAGTAATATCACAGATGAAATGGCAGTACGTTTAGGAATCATTTTCGTAGTCAGATAAAACCATGATTGTTGATTACTTGTCTAGAGGAATCAATCATGTATAGCTATACAAATGCGGGTTGCTGGAATAGCACATTGATTGGTTAAGTGTTTTAACATATCCTTTTCTTTTGTTTTCAGTTTGGTTTTTTTGAGTTGCTGAGAAGGGAAAGCTGTTGAGATATTTAAGTTACTCTGAGAATTAGGGACTTCCTATTAGGCCTTTCTGCTCTGGTTACGTTTGGCCAACAGAAAGCAAAAGACGACATAATTATTGGACTTTCTCTAGTAAATAATCTGAACTTCTGGATGTGAACGGTTAGAGCAAACTGTAAATGCACTGTAAAATGTACGAGAAACAGAGGAGATTCTGAGGAGAGAACGTTGAATGTCAATGAGAAGAGAAAGTAAAGTTTCAATGGTCTCCTCAGGTTGGCTAGTGAAAGTAGTGCAGCAGGTTTGAGGGACAGGTTTCCAAAAGTACATTATCAATAAATCAGCTATAGCTGTTTCTGCAATTGGTAGCGCAAATGCTGATCTGTTTCACTTCCTCTACAACATTGTTTGCTACTATTGTCGATAATCAGATTCCCGCTAAGTCATTCAAGACTGATGTTGCTACTGTTCAGAAGATCAAGGCTGGTCTCTCATCCTAGGATCTCATTGTTGCTCGTCGAATTTCTAAATAAAACTTTACCTCAGGAATTCAGTACTCATTTGCAAAAAAGATTCATATGTAATGTTTTCATTCTTTCTTTGTTTGTTGGTAATCTTATCATTATGATATTGGCTGTTCATTTTCCTATTAATATGTAACCTTTAGTCTGCTGTCTAAATCCAAAGAGGTTATAACAGTTGACCAACTTTGTTATAATTAGTGCCCAAACAGCCACTCCTTTTTTATTTTTCCTTGTGTCCAACCATAGCCTAGTGTTCTAGTGAGTACGTCAAATTTACCTAATTTTACCATAGCCTCTCGAAACTCAGTGTAAAAATCAGACCCTTTGACTATATTATCCACAGTTTTATTTGTCAATGGATATAATGCTATTTGCTGATCAATTTGAAGAACCGCATTTTCCAATTTAATTTGTTGATAAAATGAGTTATCAACAACTGAAGGAGTCGTCCCGAAGGGACGGCCCAGTTGGGTTTGGAGGGAGTTGTCCACAAGGGCGACGCGGGTTCGAATCCCCCTCAATTCCCTCTGGGTCTGAGCCTGTCGCACGGGGCTTTCCTAGTGCGGTTTACATCCCCTGTGTGGTTTGTAGGCTATTACACAGTTGGGGAGGGGGGGGTTACCTAGTGCGCACAGAGTGCTCACCCAAAGGGCAGAGGCTGTAGCGACTGCGGGTTTTCCTGGGGTTCCAAAAAAAAAACAATTGAAGGAGTCCCCAAACATCAATCCCAAACAAGTTCGTGTTGGCCATATAAAACCTCACTGAACATCATGCTCCATTCTGAAATACCAAAACTTTCTAGCATTCCAAATATGCCACATGATAATTACAAACAAATTTAACACCATAGCAGAATCAGAACATTTGTTTGTCTTCTTAATCTTATCATTCCACCGTATAGAGAAATCAACAATACCATCAATGTCATTCCAATTAACAGGACTAAGTTTTCATATTGTTTTAAATTTGGGACAATTAAAAAGCATATGTTCTACAGTTTTATTTTCTAAGACACATTTTTTACATACACTATTAACTTGATTCTTCTCTTTCTAAGAATAATACTCCCAGGTAAAGTGTCAAGCACACATCTTCCAAGGAAATGCTTATGCTTATTTTTAATATTCATAGCCCGTAAACAATTCCAAAAAGCTTTAGAGAAAGAATGACAACTAGATTGAGCAATATTCCTGCTATTCTCGCCTTGTTTGCCTATTTTTTTGCAGTATAATAACCAGATCTAACTTCATAGTTACCATATTTAGTATAGTGCCATATTAATTTTTCTCTAGAAGTAGTGGTAAGTAAAGAAATTGTCAAAATAGCATTTATATCATCTTCTCAAAAATGTCTATTTAATTCTTCCTATTTTCAAGTCCTAGATTCTAAATTTATAAGCTCTGTCACTTTTAGGTCAAAATTATCATTAACAATACCTTTATAATGTCTAAAATTAGTAGCATTCGAATCCAAGGATCTCTTCAAACATAAACATTAGCCCCATTAGCAACTCTACATCTTAACCCCTTTTTTAGTAATTCTCTACCCCAAATAATACTTCTCCAAATCCAGGACGCTTATAAAGAAATTGTAGTATTCAATAAGGAGTTATAATTAGGAAAGTATTCACTTTGTAGGATGCGCGAAAGAATTAAATCTGGATTAGTTAAAACTCGCCATGCCATTTTAGCTAACATTGCTTGATTAAAAGCCTTAATATCCCTTAAACTCATCTCTCAAAGTAATTGGTTCCATTCCCTTGGCTCTACTAAAAATTTGATTAAAGAATAGTCCTAGCACTTTGAATATCCGGTGAACAAAAGATTAAAGAATGGGATACACTAGGTCCATTCCTAACTAAGCCTAAGCCTCGTATTTGACCCCTATCTTTTGTAGTTTTTAAGAGAGTAGATAAAGCTTCAGCACATATAAAAAATAAATATGGTGATAATGGGTCATCCTGTCTTAATCCCCTTGTTGGCATAACCAGAGGCGGATCCAGAATTTAAAGCTTATGGGTTCCTATAACGACCTTAAGTAAATATACAACAAGTAATTGGGTTCGCAACCAATATTTACGGATATTTAATGAATTTTTTAATACATATACAGGGTATATACAAAAGCTACTTGGGTATATGCAATAGGCTGGATCCGCCCCTGGGCGTAACCCAACTAGTTACTTCACTATTAATACTAAATCTATAACTTGTTGAAGTAATACACTCCATTATCCATCCCACAAATATTTTATCAAATCTCATTCTTAAAAGCATTTTCGTAACAAAAATCCATTCAACTATGTCATATGCTTTGGACATATCAAGTTTCATAGCCATAAATTTCTCTCTTCCTCTTCTTTTATTTTTAAGTAAATGCATAAACTCATGAGCAAACACTACATTATTAGTAATTTGTCTATTTTCCACAAAAGTTGTTTGATTTGGTGAGACAATCATAGGAAGAATGTCTTTCATTCTAGCCACTAACACTTTAGCAATAATTTTATAAGCAGTTGAATACAAACTTATAGGTCTAAATTGAACCACAGAGATGGGACTTTTAACTTTAGGAATTAAAGTAATTAAAGTTTGGCTCCATTTTGGAATTAAATGTCCTAAATTAATGAAACTTCTAACTGCTTCACAAACATCCTTACCAATAATATGCCAATATTTTTGGGGAAAAAGTGGAGTTATTCCATCAATACCTTGAGCTTTTACGACATGCATTGAATAAGTAGCCTTCTTAATGTCGGCATCTGATACATCTCTTATTAGTCTCTTATCATTGACCCATTAATAGAAATCGACATGTCACAACCCAAAATCCACTAAGGGTCGTTATGGCGCCGGACTCCACCGTCAGGCAAGCCAACATCAAATAACTAGAAATTTCTCGTTTTAAATATTTCTGAAATCATTTCATTTATACATTGAACAATAAATAATAAATTTCACTGAATAAATAGTGATACCTTTAATAATTTTAAAATACTGAATAATCCCATAGACATCCCAGAACCCGGTTGTTTAACCAAAAATATGAGTCCTTGGTCAAAGCTAAAAGAGAAATTCGGGTTACTGATAAT